GGCTACGGGGCAGGCCATGAGTTGGGGACCCCAATGTGGGCACGTCCCCATACTCAGGGGGGGGATTAAACTCCCCCAAAAGGGGTGGAGGGTAAAAATTGTTATCCCAGACTCACCGGCTCCTGGAAGTAGAACTGGTAATCGAAGCTGGGGTAGGTTTTCATCTTCTCCACGATGTCCACAGAGGGGTCGGCGGGGCGGTACGGGGTGTTCAGCGAGGCCACGGCCCTGGGACACCATGGGGTGGGGTGGGGTGGGGCAGAGTCAGCATCAGACCTGGGTTTGGGGTGCCCCGTGCGAGCTGGGGCTCTGCTGTAGGGACAGGACAGGATCTGGGGGTGCCCCAGCCCCCCTGGATCCCTCCCCAAGGACCCACCTCACCCTCTCGGGGTAGAAGAGAGCCATGTTCCACACCACGGCACCGCCCCAGTCGTGGCCGACCAGCACGGTCTGTGGGATGCCCTGCGGGGAGGGGGCCCGAGAGGTGATTTGCTTTCCTCCCAAGCAGCAACAAGCTCAGAAAACAGCAATATTTTTTATTTTCCCTTCCTGCTATTTGTCGTTTTTCCCCCCCCAAGGAACAAGCCTCACCTGATCCCCCAGAGCAATTCGCTCTGATTTAATTAAACATTTCAACTACTTGGGCCCTCCAGAGGAAAAGGGTTTGATATGGTCCACCGAAAACACATCTCGAGGCTGTTCATCCCCTGGGATCACTCATTTGGGTCCCGCCGTTGCCATCACGCGAGGTGACAACACGGGGAACATCTCGGCATCAGAGCAGCCAAATAAATCTCCAGCCCCTCTGGGAAGGAGCTCGCAGCATCCCCCAGGGCCAGCCGGATCCTGCCCGGAGCTGGGCACGCCGAGCTCACTGTCGTGCCCCCCCCACCCGCCTCCATCTCTCCATTCTATTTTCCTGACCCCTCTGGGCACCTACAAATAAATCCAATTAAAACCCGCTCTCCTGACAACGCGGCAGCTGGTTCAGAATTAGCTGATATTTAGAAGCGTAATTAAAATTCCCTCCTGGCAGATACAGCTCGGGGAGGGCTCTGTGTCTCGCTGCCATCCAACAGCAGGAAACCCGGCGTCTGAGACCCCCCCCCCGAGGCGGGGCAGAGGGGTTGGGGGGGTCCCAGCATCTCCCCCCCTTCAATGTGGGGCTGAGCAGGTCCCCCCCCCGGTGCTGATCCCTGGTCCCACCATCCCTGGTCACCCCCGCGGTGGCTCCTGGAGCGCTCTGCACCTTCTGCACCCCAGCTACGGGCTCAAACAACACGCAAAGTCATTTATCTTCCCCCAAATCCCCCCCGGTTTGTCCTGAGGGGGGGCAGAAGGAACCCCCCAGCGGGGCGAGGAGCAGGATGGATCCTGATGGTAGCGGAGGAGTGGGGAAAACCAAAGTCTCATCCATACAGGATGCCATGACCTCATCAACGGGCACCTTTCTTTTTTGCTTATCATTTTTAATCCAGCGTGAAGGCAATTCCCAGCAACAAAAAAAAATCACCCTGATTTATTCTCGCCTGCTCAGCACCAAACTGGAGCCGCAGCCCCCGCACAGCCTTGGTCCCCTCCCAAAAACCCATCCCAAATCTGATGCTGGCACAAAACCCCTCCTCGCACAAGGAGCCCTTGCAAAACCTCAAGGGCTTTTTTTTTTTTTTTTCCCTTGTTTGAGGAGTTTGGGTTTTTTTTTAGCACTGCACCGTTCGAAGGACTCGTCCACCTGGAAGCCATTTCACAAGGAAAAAGCCCTGGAGATGTTGATATTTGTGGGCTGTGACTTCTTCCCCTGCCACTTCATCTCCTTTTAAAAGGCTCAGAAATCAACCCCATCCCCTCGCAGGGATGGGAATTAAAGCCGGGAGCTCCCAAACCCATTTGCTGAGATGACACCGGACACAAGGTGACAGCAAGGACACAAGGTCCAGGAGAAGGTGACACAGAGCTGGAGACCCTCCTAAGGATGGGTTCTCCCCACTGGCAAAGTCTGCATTCAGTCAGCCATCAGTAGGGATCAGAGTGAACACCCCCATCCCTAAAATCCCACCCACAGGGAACACAGAGACAGGGCCTGGTGTTACCCCAAGGGATTTGGACCAGAGTCACCTCAGATGTCCCAGCATGGGACAAAATCACCGGGGAGCTCAGCTGTCCCTGCACGGGAAGGAAGAGGCAAAGAGCAGGTGGGGGGGGCACACATGCCCAAACTTTGCCAAGAAGGAGAGACCCACTGTGGGGGGATCCTCACCAGTTTGTCCAGGAAAACCACCAGGTCCTGCGGAAGGGAGAAGGGGAGGGGTCAGATCCTGCGTGGGACTGTGCCCCACCAGCCCACCCCCGCACATCCTCCACACCCTGCAGCTCCTCACCTTGCATATCTGCTCCTGGGAATATTCTTTTACATCTGCACAAAAGACAGAATCGCCATCATTTCAACATGCAGACATTTCTGAGGATGTATTTCACAGGATCCCAGAATCACTCAGGCTGGAAAAGCCCCTCGGGATCATCGAGTCCAACCCTCAGCCCGACTCTACACAGTTCTCCCCTACCCCACATCCCCCACAGCTCATCCCAACGGCCCTGAAACCCCCCCAGGGATGGGGACTCCCCCCTCCCTGGGCAGCCTGTTCCACTCTCGCACCACTCTTGCTGGGAAACATTTTCTCCTCCTGCCCAGCCTGACCCTCCCCTGGGGCAGTTTCCAGCCGTTCCCTCTTGTCCTGTCCCTGATCCCCTGGGAGCAGAGCCCAGCCCCAGCCTCTCTGCAATGTCCTGTCAGGAGCTGCAGAGAGGGATGAGGGCTCCCCTCAGCCTCCTCCTCCTCAC